GCATCTACTGAACATATTAATTCAAACTAAATCAAACCCAAAATTGGGAGATTGACCCCAATTTTGGTCTGGTCTAGTCTAGTCTAGTCTCATAAATGCTCTGTCTCGTAAACGAATAAACCTTCCTGTCTCTATCGTAGTATTTATAAGTGCGTTTAATTATCTTCTGAACCAGTACAGATTTGTGAACTTATTTATTTATTTATTTGGTCGACCATGAGTTGATATATTTGGTCGAGCGAACAAAAATCACGCAAGACCAAATATGTTGGTCGAGCAGAAATCAAATACTCCATTTTGGTCGACTTCATTTTGGTCGAATTTTAAGGAGTACTTAGGTCGACTTCATTTTGGTCGAATTTTAAAAAGATGAGTTCAGACGAATAAGTTTGAAATACTATGGAAACATGAAATACTCGTATTAAAAAAAAAAAAAAATTGTCCTACTATGAAAACATGAAATACTCGTACTATGATAAAGATTTTTTTTTTTATGAAATACTTCGTATTAGCCTCAAATAGTACTACACTGCAACATCCCCTAATCTGCAATGGTCTAGTCTGCAACCTGCAAGGGTCTAGTCTCATACGGAGTAAATGTTCTGTAGGGAAACGTGTAAACGTTCCATCTCACATAAATATTGTCGTTTTGGACTGTTCGGTCTAGTCCGTTTATCTAGTTTGAATGGGACGGATCAGGGATGGAGTTAAAATGATACGGAGTAAAATGTTTAAGACTGAAAATGATCCTCAAAGTAGCTAATACATGAAAAGTAACCTAAATTAATACGTAGTAGCTAAAATGATACTCAGTATGTCAGATAACTTCGGTCAATACATACAACCTTACTTTTTCTTATTATTATTACACAACTTAGTGAGTGAAATCAAAATTTCGTATTTGGTGAAAAGATTGGTTGATTTTTTTGATTTATGAAAAAAATAAATATAAATTAAGTCTTACTAGTATTAATAAAATAGGGAAAAAATTATACTAAAAACTAGCTAAAATGATCATTTGAGGATACAAATGTTAGTCCGATTAGGACCAATCAGGACCAACATCAATTAGTCCGATGTTATTCCTGATACAAATGTTAGTCCCCTGATACTCTCGATCTTAGTCCAATTAGTCCAGTTACTCTCGATGTTAGTCCGATTAGGACCAATCAGGACTAACATCAATTACTCCTTCATACAAATGTTAATCCAATTGGTTCTGATACTCTCGATCTTAGTCCAATTAGTCCAGGTACTCTCGATCCTATTGCAGTTAAGACCGATACTCTCGATGTTAGTCCGATTAGGACCAATCAGGACCAACATCAATTAGTCCGATGTTATTCCTGATACAAATGTTAGTCCCCTGATACTCTCGATCTTAGTCCAATTAGTCCAGTTACTCTCGATGTTAGTCCGATTAGGACCAATCAGGACTAACATCAATTACTCCTTCATACAAATGTTAATCCAATTGGTTCTGATACTCTCGATCTTAGTCCAATTAGTCCAGGTACTCTCGATCCTATTGCAGTTAAGACCGATACTCTCGATGTTAGTCCGATTAGGACCAATCAGGACCAACATCAATTAGTCCGATGTTATTCCTGATACAAATGTTAGTCCCCTGATACTATCGATCTTAGTCCAATTAGTCCAGTTACTCTCGATGTTAGTCCGATTAGGACCAATCAGGACTAACATCAATTACTCCTTCATACAAATGTTAATCCAATTGGTTCTGATACTCTCAATCTTAGTCCAATTAGTCCAGGTACTCTCGATCCTATTGCAGTTAAGACCGATACTCTCGATGTTAGTCCGATTAGGACCAATCAGGACCAACATCAATTAGTCCGATGTTATTCCTGATACAAATGTTAGTCCCCTGATACTCTCGATCTTAGTCCAATTAGTCCAGTTACTCTCGATGTTAGTCCGATTAGGACCAATCAGGACTAACATCAATTACTCCTTCATACAAATGTTAATCCAATTGGTTCTGATACTCTCGATCTTAGTCCAATTAGTCCAGGTACTCTCGATCCTATTGCAGTTAAGACCGATACTCTCGATGTTAGTCCGATTAGGACCAATCAGGACCAACATCAATTAGTCCGATGTTATTCCTGATACAAATGTTAGTCCCCTGATACTCTCGATCTTAGTCCAATTAGTCCAGTTACTCTCGATGTTAGTCCGATTAGGACCAATCAGGACTAACATCAATTACTCCTTCATACAAATGTTAATCCAATTGGTTCTGATACTCTCGATCTTAGTCCAAATCATAGTCGACCTACATATGGTCGATCTAAATGATTGACTCATCTATGTAGCCGAACAAATGAACTATCAATAAACATTTAGCATATAAATGATGCCATCTCAAGACACACACACACACACACATATAGTACACTAGATATACAAGGAATATATAGTCCAAAGGTATATTCTAGATATATACCGATACCATATATTCTGGATATATACCATATATTCTAGATTCTAGATATATACCATATACGAACGAAGTATTAAGAATTAGGAAATGCATGTATTTTAGATATACAAGGAAACCCTAATTATGTACAAGGAAACACTTAGCATATAAATGATTGCATTCAATATTTACCAAACAAATAAAATAACAAAAATTACATAGACAGTTTACACATTGATGTCTCCTTAAATTCCTGACATATATCAAATGCCAATCTAAGTCTAATTTTTTTGGTCTTCTGGTGATTAATATTTTCGAGTTCTTTGAAATCTTTCCCAAAAAGGTCCAACTCTAGAAACTTTAAGGCAAACACTCCACAGTCATCCTCTTTCTGTTGCGGTACAATAGGGCGTTTTACTTCCCACATTGACTTGTTTTCATATGTGTGTGTACCCAACTTGGCAAAGGATGCTATTACAGGGAATACCATTCTTAATGGCTTCATAGCTGCTTCAAAAGTTTCATCACTCATCAATCCCCTGAGAGAGTCAAATGTTACAAGCTCTCCCACCTCAAAGTCTGCTTTTACACAAACCCAATGATTCCCTCCAAGATTGTGAGGGAAATAAGCATATTTAACATTTTCCCAGGGAATCATGTGTATTGATGTGGTTGTCCCTAGAATAGTTTTCTCTATACTTTTTTCTAGTGTCGGGTAAATTTCTTCATTTCCATTGCGCTGAGCCATTTTACCAAAATAAGCTGTAGGTACAACAGCATGGGAGATCTCTTTCTCAATAAGACGTTTTCTCAGATGCACTAGAAACTCATCAAGATGCTGAATAATTTAAATGTGGTTTAGTAAACATATATGTGAAAAATGTAATTTCAGCGAATAAAATAACTTCATTTGGTTACCTCGATCGCAAGCCAACCACCAGGACGCAACAACACAGTCCAAAAATTCTTTGACACTCCATCTGATTCTTTATATTTATGGAAAAGACACTGAACTTCCCTGTCCTCTTCTATGGCTTGTTGAATCCAGCTAGAAAATCTCTCCAAAACCTTCGCATCAGGTTCTTCAAGCTTCAAAGATGCATCGTCAACTTTTACCTTAAACTGCCTTGGCTTTGTTTTCTTTCTTTTTGCTCTTCCCATTACCTACAAACATCTATAACCATTTCAAAAAACTTGGTCGAGCATAAGGTCGATCTTTCGTACTCATCAAACCGAGTTACCTCTCCACTCTCTCCTACCAACTGATCATGAACCTTCTCATCAACCTTGAAATTATATGTAAAATTGGTAAACAATGATTATAAAGAAAACAAAAACTTACATTGTATATACATATTAAAGCTTCCTTTAATATCAGTGAAATAGTTCATACATTTAATGTTTCTTGAAACTCTTTACATATAGAATAAGCCATGAGTAGTCTAACTTGCTTCATGCGGCTTTCAGTCATATTTTCAAGTTCTTTAAAATCTTTACCAACCATGTCCAACTCTATGAACTTCATTGTAAACACACCGCAGTCACTCGTGGTTTGTTGGGGTACGGTAGGCCGCTTTACATTCCAAAGAGGCATTATTTCTGGGTCATAGACAATACCATTAAGGATGCAAGCAACATTTCCAAACCATTTTCTGTGCGGCTCTAAACTGCGTACTATTTCATCATCACTTCTGAAGCATCGCAGAGAGTCAAACACAACAAGCTCATTGTTTTCGAAATCTGCTCGCACTGCCATCCAATGAGTTTCAGCAATGTTGTGTGGAAAATAGAGACGCTTCACGCCTGTCCAAGATTTGATATAAGAAGTGCTCGAAGTCCCCTCCATCATTTTATTCAAATCATCCAGCAATCCAGGAAAGAGCTCTTGCTTTGGATCCATATTGGTATCAATAAAGGAAGAAAAGAATTCCGTCGTGACAACAACATCTGAGAGACTTTCATCAAGAACACGTTTCCTCAGGTAGGAAAGATACTCGTCAAAGTGCTGAAAGATTTACATGTGATGAAGTAAACGTTTTGTATAAAAAGAAATACTCATCAATATAAATAATGTGGTTACCTACTTACCTGAGACTCAAGCCAACCACCTACGTCCAACATCATGGACCAGAATTTCTTTTCCATTCCAGAACTTTCAGAATACTTGTCCTCGAAGCACTGAACATCCCTGCCATCATTCTTGGCTTTTTTTATAAAAGTATGAAATTTCTTCAGTATCGTCTCACTGGGATGACTCCTTTTCTTCCCCTTGTAGGGCACATAAGGAGATTTGGTAAATTTTCCCCTTCCTTTTGTTCTTCGCCCCCTTCCCAACAATGCCTACAAACAATCATAAAGAATATATCATAAAACAATTCAACTACTTGAGAAAACAATTTTGAGTTTTACCTGTTTCTCTTCATCATTAAGTTCAACAATTCTAACATCATCAGCATCACTAACATCTTCTTTGCGAACCAAACCCTTGGCAAAAGCATCGCAAACATAATCAATAATACGAAATGGTTGCTCAACCTTATCATCACCCTATCAATTATTAAGTGTAATATATATGTCAAAGTTTAATATTTTAAAAAATAAATGTAGTCGATATTATAATATTAAAAAGTTTTGTGGTTTACCTCTTTCGTTTTATTATCAAGTTCAGCAGTATCACCAACATTCAATCCTGGATCAACCTTCTCATCACCCTTCAATTATAATTATAATATATATGTTAATGCTTAACCTTTTGGTAAGAAATAAGTAGTCGATCTTCTGTATTCGACCTTCTTTTGGTCGATCATTTATAAGTTACCTTTTCACTCTCCTCAGCTAACTGATCATGAACCGTCTCATTAGAGACATCAGCAATATGCAATCCTGGGTCAACCGTCTGATCACCCTTGCCATTATCAGTATAATATATATTAATGCTTAATCTATAAAGAAGACATAGGTCGGTAGTAGATGTTTATTATTTAAGTATGTAGTTACCTCTCCACTTTCTTCTGTTGTTTCCAATGTACATAAGTTTATTGTCTGCAATGAACAAACAACTTCTTCCACATCACCCTGCGGAAAGAAATTGGAATATATACATTCTAGGCCATCACCCTTGCAATGGGAAAAAAACAGTTGAAAAAGGTTTGTATACAAAAATATTTTTTATTAAACTACTGAACCTTAGTAATAGAGTCTTGAGCATCTTCCAACTCATTTTCTTCTTCATTTTCCTAGAATAAAAATAGTAAAGTATAAATAAAATATACATCAAGTCGACCACTTATTTTTTACATAGATTCAAAGTCTATCAAATATTAGTCGATCGAACCTCTGTAGTAGATGTTTATTATCTAAGTCGATGTTTATATAATACATCACGTCGACCACTTATTTTTTACATAGATTCAAAGTCGATCCAATATTAGTCGATCGATTTTTCTTATACACAAACAGTTTCGTTTAAGCAAATATTTTTTTTATTAAAATATACCTCTTTTTCTTTTTCTATTTCCTCACACTGATACTGATGAACCTCTGTAATCAATTTATCATTTTCCTATATGAAAAATAGTAACGTAAGTATTCATGATCATAATTTGGTCGATTACTAACGTAAGTAGTCGATCATAATTTGGTCGATTACTTATAGGTTACCTCTGATTCCCCTAAGCCAATAGAGTCATCAACAATGTTCAGTCCTGGTTCAACCGTCTGATCAACCTTGTCATTATATGTATAATATGTATTAATGCTTAATCTTTAAAGAAGACAAAGGTAGTAGATTTTTTCGGTCGGCCCTCTTTTGGTCGATTGTTTATTATCTATTTAGTTACCTCTCCAATCTCTTCACTTGTCTGCAATGTACATACATTTTCGACTTCATGACCCTGCGGAAAACAATTGGTATATACACATTCAAAGCCATCACCCTTGCAATTGAAAAAACAGTTGAAAAACGCTTTGTAAACTCAAATATTTTTTTATTAAACTACTGAACCTTAGCCATAGAGTCTTGAGCATCTTCCGACTCTTTTTCTTCTTCATTTTCCTAGAAGAAAAATAGTAATGTATTATTAAAATGCACATCAAGTCGACCACTATTTTTTACATAGATTCAAAGTCGATCCAATATTAGTCGATCGAATCTTCTTATTCAAAGCCATCACCCATGCAATTGAAAAAACAGTTGAAAAAAACTTTGTAAACACAAATATTTTTTATTAAACTACTAAACCTTAGCCATAGAGTCTTGGGCATCTTCCGACTCTTTTTCTTCTTCATTTTCCTAGAAGAAAAATAGTAAATTATGAATAAAATATACATCAAGTCGACCACTTATTTTTTACATAGTTTCAAAGTCGATCCAATATTAGTGGATCGAATCTTCTTATAAACAAACAGTTTGGTTTAAGCAAATACTTTTGATTAAAATATACCTTTTTTTCTTGTTCTATCTCTTCAACCTGATACTGTTCATTCATCTTTTCATTTCCTTGAGCTTCTTCTTCTTCTTTTTCCTAGATGAAAAGTAGTAAATTAAGTATTCATGATCTTACATCTTTGTTAACATCTATACGAATTACCAATATTAACGTAAATTCTAGAATCAAGAACATGTTAAATATACAGCAAAGTCGACCACTTTTTTATTACATATTTACAGGTCGACCAAATATTAGTCGGCGGAATATTTTATACACAAATGTTTGGAATTAAACGATGTACCTTCTTCTCTTGGTCGAACTTTTCAGCCTGAGCCTCTTTGTCTAAACCCTTTTCATCTTCTTGCTCCATTTTCTTTTCAGAATCGTCACTCTCTTCATTTTTCTAGATGGAAAATAAGTAAAGTAAGTATTCATGACCGTTCACAAAACAAAACAATTCTACCAGCTTTAAAAATATTACAAGTCCATTAACAGCTTTAATGCATACGCAATTACCTCCTTTTTATGCTCAGCCCCCTCAACACTTTTCTCCTCTCCTCTAGCAGTGGACTATATAAGGAAAAAATTATAACTAATTATTGAAGCTCAAGTTTTAAAGGTTTATCTTGCTATAGAATTAAGACAAACCTTAACAAGTAACTCTTCAAGTTTCTTGTGCCTCTCTTCTGACCGTTTCTCCAACTCCAGAAACTTTTTGTCATAATGCTCTTTGAAAGAATTGAGCCTTTTTTCTGAAAGATCCTCCAGTTCTTTAAACTTTTGTTCAATATACATTTTTATTGAATCTTCATTGGAAGGAGGCTTAGGAGAAGCAGCAGGGGTTTTGGGGGAGTGTTTCTTTTTCTTTCTTTGTTCCTCTACATGGGCAGTAGGTTGAGGAGAGGCAATAGGGGTTTGAGGAGGAGAGTGTCTCTTTTTCTTCTTTCTTTTTTCCTCCACTACAACTTCTTCTTTCTTCATGCTCAGCAACTTCATCTTTTTAGGAGGCTTCTTCTCCTCTTTAGGACTCTTGACCTCACATGATTTTCTTTTCAAAGAGACTGGAAAAAGAACCAATTTTCTCTCTAATGATTTCACAAATCCATCCAGCTCAACATGTGGGTGACTGTCTTGTACAGGATCCAAACTTCTGACCCAATCAGTAGTTTTCTCCAAATCATCAGGTAGTAGAATACTCTGCACCCTCTGTAACAAACATTTAGTTCTTCACTTTTAGTTGTATAAACAAAACAACGTATTATCGACCGTGTAGTAGTCGATCACGTTTATTTGTTCGACCACAATCTGGTCGAACAAAGGTTATAAGTGTGAAAATGTTCTTACCTTTATTGATTCTTCAGCCACTTGAACCTGTTCAGTGCTGATCCTTTTTGTCGTATTTGGACGATAGAGACGTAACCTCGGCAAAGTAGGCACACAATTAGGGAGTCTCATTGCAAACTTCTCGGCAAAATCAGGGGCGCATTCAAAAAGCAATATCTATTAAAACAAAATTTGAAAAAGTCAAGAAATGCTAGACAAATTGTTATTACAGTATGCAAAATAGAATCTGCAAATGATATTGACAAAGGTCCTTACCGAAATTGGGATTAAGAATCCAGGGAAATTCATTGTTGCTGACTTATTTTTAGCAATTATTTCATCTAGCTTTTTCTCCAAGTCCATATGTTTCAATGCATCTAATGAGCCCTTATACGCCCACGTACCCCATGGGAACTCGTTTTCTTCTTTTCCCCCTATTTTCCCAATTATCCATTCAGGAATGGGAGCTTTTCTCTTAGAAGGAGCTAGAAGGACCATCACTACAAACATGAGTATTGCTACTCTGATCACTTCTACTTCAGCATCCTTTTTCAGTTCGTCCTCAGCTTCAGGGTCCTTCAAAGTTGTGCACAATTGTACAAATCTAGCTACAACTGTTTCATAGCTAACAACTCCCTCAAAATCTTGATCAAAATTCTTCTCAATGAATCTGGCCTTTGAATCATTATCAAAATCATTTTCATAATTGCTAGCAAGGGCGCTGCAGGTAAGCCCGCTGATTAGAGCAAATTCTGTGAGAGAGTAGCGTACTGGAACTCCCTTCACGACAAACCATGCCTCCGATTCAATATCAATTTTGGCTAATCTAGACACGATTGACCACAAATGTAATGGAACAGGGATGAACTCAACATCAATGTATTTCCCAAATACACTCGACCTAAATGCACCCATGAGATTGGGAAACTCACCAAGATTGTCGAAAATTAATTCTATAAATTCATCCAATTTTTGCCTTACTGTGAGCTTCATGCTCGGGAACAACGAGCAGTCCACCACAGGAGGCAAGGAAGGAACCTGCATATAAAAAAAATTACAGATGTTCGACTAAGATACGGTCGAACCAATGGTTTACAACTCCGTTTCGACTAAGATTGGTAAAAAATGTATGTTTAGTTCGACCAAATGATTTTACAGAAATTCACTCCGGATTAACCACCAATGATACTTGTATAATTGGTAGGTATGTTTACTTAGAAAAAATAGTGAGAAACATGCATTGCGTTTTCAAAATAATCAAACATGATTTGGGTCGACTGAGTTGAGTTCGGATTCGAATGAACATCTATAGCTTTCATTTGAGAAATTACCACGTCTAGCTTTCTAAAGAACCAAGTATCGCTCTCAAGCAATCATAAATAATCTAACATTTACCTGAATATTGAGTTCATCTTTGGCTTCCATCACTTCAGATGCTTTCACAAGTCGCCGTCTTGCTTGGCTTTTCCCAAGAGGAACCGTAGGACTTTTGCACTTCATGATGATGGAAGGAGATGTAAGAATGCTCCTCGTCGAAGTCGAAGTAGAAATCGAGGAATGCTTGTGCTGGAAATCGAAAATGCTTCTGCCCTAACCCGGAGCTCGACCGAAATCGATTTCGACTGATAGTGAATGATGAAGTGTGTGGGAAGGGGAAGCTGGGATTCCGGAAGTTGGATTGTGGAAGCTGGTGGGACCAACAAGCCGTTTCCCGTTTTTCGAAATCGGATAGACAGTCGTTTTTAAGTTCATGGTGTCGTTTTATTAAGGGTCCTTATGTAATTACACCATTTCCTAATAATGTAATAGAAGGCCGGGTAGATTCAAAATACTCAACCTTTTTCGGCCCTTTTCGATAAATTCTCCCTTGTTTGACTGACCAACAAGAGAAGAAGCAGGGAGAGGGAGACGTCAAGACAGAGCTAAGTCAAGATTCATCTTCCAGGACCCTGCAGATCTTCTTGGAATCGGACCAACAGCAGCGAACTAACCTGGCATTCCAAGACCTCACGAAAATTCGTCTTCTTTATACCTTTGGAAGCATCGGATTGTCACTCCGCCTCAGATTCCTCCTGTATGTTTGGATGCATTTCGGCCCCGATTGAAACGCATTGTGTTTTTGGGTGATGAACTAAAGCTTGATCTTAGCTTATTATTTCTTGCTTTTTAAGTTTTTAGTTTCTTGCTTTAACAAAGAATTCTAGAAATTATTGAAAAAGACAATTTTGGACTCGTAATGCTTTTACATTCAGCATTATTGAAAGGATGGAGGCTATACGTACTGACGTAAATACAAGGGAACTAAAGATTCAACAACTGAAAATACATTAATCTAATCCCGCCGACAGTACTTGCTTAAGGCCATGTTCAGACAACTTCTTTCCCAAATTAAATTTAATTAACATCTTTCTGCAAATGCCTTGGGGGTGAGAGTCCATCATGTATTTCCCATATTTTATACTTCATATATTCTTGTAGGAACATTTCATCACTTGTTCATATTTCTTCTCCCCAGATCTGGGAATTCAAATTTCCAAACCTTGACGGGCTCTTAACAGGCTCTGGGTTGGTTCAGACTTCAGTTTTTATAGTTGGGAATCTCATAAAGGATCAGTCTTGAGGGGTAGAGATGATGGGCATACAAGATCATGGGAATGTGGAGATGGAAATTTCTGATTTTAAATTGGGGAGAAACAACAAATACAAGAGGATGGATAATTATGATGGTGTAGATGATGATGATCCATCCCACCATGACCATCTTCAGCTTGAGAAGAGGAGGAAGAGCACTAAGAAATATGTCTTTGCCTGTGCTATCTTCGCTTCTCTCAACAATGTCCTCCTTGGCTATGGTAATTTTCTTCTTTTTTTCTTAAATTATCTTTTGGAGTTAATGCATTCACTTATAAAGAATAGTTCACACATTGATTAAGTGTATAAATATGAAACAAATATATAAAATGCATTATTATTCATCTTATAATGTCAATCTTTATATAAATGGAGTTGTAGGTAGAATTTTTTGATCTTCTCTGCATTCTTGTGTTCGATTCCTTGTTAGAAATTGTGTGTGTTTAAGTCCCACACAGATGATTCAGCAACACTTGTAAGATAGGCTGACTGTCAATGGAGGACTTGAAAATTACCGATATAGGGTCAGGATGATTGAAAACTATCAATCAAAGATGTAAAATTTCATAGAATTTGATTTTTTTTTTCATTTAGTTTATTGCTACTTTTTGATTATTTTTTCTTCACAAAAGTTTATTTCTTTAAAAAAAAAATAAACAGTATATATATTTAATATTAAAAAAAATTCATGATATTTCAAGTCTTAGATTGATAGTATTCCATCATTCAAAATTTTGAACCCTATTTCAACGGTTTTCATCTTTCAAATCCTTGGTTGATACTTAACCTATCTTTCAGATACTGGAATAATATAGTTCATTGAATCAAGTATGAAAAAATGTGATGCACAAATTTAGGTTAACAAATCAGAATAGTGAATAAGACCTTCAAATCAGTACGGAAGTAAGGGTTTGTAATTTTATGTTTATTGCCTTAACACATTGCATCATGCCTTTTACCAATGACTTCTTGCTCAACTGGGCAAGACAGCAAGACAATGAAAGATATGTGTTAGAAATCTTAAAATCAAGACAGTCACTATAACGAGTCTACGGGATTCTCTTAGTGGAACAATTAATATTGAATAAATATTCGTGTTGGCCTTTGATTTTGGGATTCTTGTGAAAACTCAGTTGTTAACCATTTTTATTATAATAGAAATTTGGATGCCAACTACCAAGATGTCCATCTCGCTGTTTACTCGGGTTATCGGATTAATCAGGTTTCCTGGAATATCTGTTTTTATTTGTAGATGTTGGGGTTATGAGCGGAGCAATCATATTTATTCAAGAAGATTTAAAGATAACAGAAGTGCAAGAAGAAATTCTAGTAGGCATTTTGAGCATAATCTCACTTTTTGGTAGCTTAATTGGAGGAAGAACCTCAGACGCGATTGGCAGAAAATGGACAATGGGTTTAGCCTCAATTATCTTCCAAACCGGGGCAGCAATCATGGCCATCGCTCCTTCCTACGAAGTACTGATGATGGGCAGATTTCTGGCTGGGATCGGAATCGGCTTTGGTGTCATGATTGCACCCGTCTACATAGCCGAGATCTCACCATCTGTTGATCGAGGATCCCTGACGTCATTCCCGGAGATTTTTATAAATCTGGGAATCCTTCTTGGATACGTCTCAAATTACGCTTTTTCCGGATTACCGCCGCATATAAACTGGCGAGTAATGCTTGCTGTGGGAATACTCCCTTCCGTCTTCATAGCATTCGCTTTGTGTGTGATTCCAGAGTCGCCGAGATGGCTGGTTGTGCAGAAGCGGGTGGAAGAAGCAAAGGCGGTGCTGATGAAAACAAATGACAGTGATGCGGAAGTGGAAGAGAGACTTGCAGAGATTCAGTTAGCTGCTGGGGTGGGGGCCACAAATGCTGATAAATATGAGGAGAAATCGGTGTGGCGGGAGCTTTTGAGTCCTCCTCCCCCTCTTGCCAGGATGCTAATAACTGGTTTTGGGATCCAGTGCTTCCAACAGATAACAGGTACTACATATTTTTTAGTTTTAAACTTTGATATGCCTAACAATATAGTAAAACATGAGTGTTCTTCTTAATATTAAAATATACAAACCATTAAAATAATATTTTTCTACAAGAAAAAATTGTATGTCAAAGAAAAGCGAAAGGATAATGTGAGAAAGTACAGAGTTACTGAAGTTCAAATGAAGCTATTAATAACTTTGGGATAAATGAAAGGGAAGTCTTATAATATAGTATGGAATAGAGAGAACACATATAGGTGTTATAATCGCCTCTTTAGGATCTTTGGAATGAGTTGGGGTTTATTGAGACTGAGTTCCATTTTAATAGCTTAATAAGTAGAAATATAAGGTCTTTTACATGTGAGTTTGTATCTTTTAATTTGACGGGTGTGGTTGAAATGACTAAATATGCAACCGGCATGAGTGAGATTACTTAACATGCGTCATAAGATGGTGACTCGTTAGAAAAGACTAATCTTGAAATATGTGTGCTCTTTTTTACTCTTAGTCTGATCGAGTTGCGTTTGAATGTATGACTCTCATAGCGTATCAAGACTTCTTGGCATACGTTAAATTCCTAAAAGGATAATTTCAGTTTGCATCTAACTTAGTTTAATATGGTCTTAGAGTTTAACACGATTGAGGTTTGTTTGTTTATGTTTTTTCACCCATTGTGTAGAGTTCGATTGGTCCATGAGGATCATTTCAAGGTTTGTTAAGTTCAATTTCCCACCTAAAGGAATAAAGGATGATCAGATTTCGGTAAATTCGTGGTGTGTAAAATACTCGGCCCTCTCGCGCTAGTCTGGCTGGACATCATATAATATGACTTTTATACTACTACGTATTTGCTAACTTAATAACTTTATAGATAAGCTTAACAACATTAAATGTTTGAAGCATGTCCATCTTCTATGCAAGGTGATAGCCGGATAAATTTTTTATGTGCGACTTTTTAATAGGTATTGATGCAACGGTTTACTACAGTCCAGAGATCTTGAAAGCAGCAGGTATTACTGGCGAGTCAAAACTCCTTGCGGCAACCGTTGCAGTGGGGATTACAAAGACGGCATTCATATTAATTGCTATAGTCCTCATTGACAGAGTGGGAAGAAAGCCACTGCTTTATGTAAGTACAATAGGGATGACAATTTGCTTGTTTGGATTGGGGTTTGCCCTTACGTTTCTGAGCAGTGAAGGGTCGCTTGGTATTCCAGCTTCAATATTGTTTGTTTGCGGGAACGTAGCGTTTTTCTCAATTGGTTTGGGACCAGTTTGTTGGGTATTGACGTCAGAAATATTTCCACTGAAGTATCGGGCCCAAGCATCCGCATTGGGAGCAGTAGGTAATCGGGTGTGCAGTGGGGTGGTCGCCATGTCATTTCTTTCTGTGTCGCGAGCAATCACGGTCGGTGGAACCTTCTTTGTTTTCTCAGCAGTCTCTGCAGTCGCGGTTGCTTTCACCTATATACTTGTTCCAGAAACAAAAGGCAAATCTCTAGAGGAGATTCAGTTGATGTTTCAAAATGAACAGGAAGGTGAAACACAACTTGGGGATGTTGAGCATCTTGTGCAGAAAGAGTGAGTTTTGGGGTTCTCTTTCAATTACTTCTTTTGGAAACTTGCAGCTATCTTTTTTGTTTTACATCTGATACATATACCACAAAATTTTACAGGTGTACTTAGTATAGAAAAGGTTGATGCATCATATATGCTCAGAATATCTTTGAATATAATCTATTCCACACGGACAATCATTGTCTTCTCTTGATTAGTAAATGTATTACGGTAACATTTTTTTAATCCATTCATCATTGCTTTAGCAACTCAGTCAACCGTTAACTTTATTTATTCTTCATGGAAGACTTATGTGTATCCTGTATAACTTTTATGCTTTACCTAGATTTTCAACTGTGCTGGTGAAAAATGTCCAAACAATTATACCAAATATTGAAATTTGGTGGGGTGATAACTGTTTTCATCATGGAGTTATCATTATTATGGCAAGGGGAAACTATCAAATAAGCCCCTGTACTATACCGAAAGTTGATTAGGCCCTCGTACTTTACAAACACTCAATTAAGTCCTCGAACTATTAAAAAAACGTTCAATTAAGCCCTTTCGGTCGGTAAATAACCGGTTTCCCTGTTAAATGTAACCCGTTTCCAGGCAGCCGCCGTTGCTGGGGTTTGAGCACATCATCGCCGTTTAACCGGGAAACAAGTTACTTACCGACCAAAAGGCCTTAATTGAACGTTTTTAATAGTTCGAGGACTTAATTGAGTGTTTGTAAAATATGAGGGCCTAATCGACTTTTTCGTCATAGTACAGGGACTTATTTGATAGTTTATACTGTTGTATAAAAATGATTTAAGGTAGTGAAAAGTTGGCTTTCACAATCCTCCCTGTTCATCTTTCTTCCACCGAGATCTTGACAGGATCTAAACAGGCTCTGGGGTTTGGACTAATTCAAAATTCAGTTTTTATATTTTTAGGCTTAATTGTCAAATAGGCCCTCGAACTAACTTAAAAACTGCAATTCACCCCTTATTTAGGAGGCTCTGTCCGGCCGTCACCAATTGGGGCGGTTCCCGATGGAATATTTTGATGAATTTTTGAGCATCTTCTTTATTAAGTCTAATTTACTCATACCAAATTTCAGAAAAAAATCCAACCGAAAAAACAATCAAATGGTTTTCTGAAATGTACTACGTTGTTTAACTGTGCAATTATCTTCAAAAATTAATTTGACTGTCTTCTCAATTAAATTGTTAGCTAAAATTTGGTATGAGTAAGCTAGACTTAATGTAGAATATGCTCAAAAAATGTCATAAAAAAATTCAATTGGGAACCGCCTCAATTGGCAATGACTGAACAGAGCCTCCTAAATAAGGGGTGAATTGCACTTTTTAAGTTAGTTCTAGGGTCTATTTGACCCTAAACTCAAATTACAAAGAACCATGGATAACTGATAAGTTTTCCACTTTTACGTAACTAAAAGTCTAGAAGTAATACTTGGTCCTAAGATAATTTGCAAAATCTACTTTTCTTGGATAAAGCATTTGATTCTATTTACTTATTTGGGATTTCCATTTAATTATTATTACAACCAAATTTGGATTTTACGAGTTTGAGGAACTTTCAATGTATTTTCTAAATTTGTAAACTTTAACTAGTAAAATTGATTTAACTATCTGCCGAGAAGATATAAACTTGTCATTAATAAACTTATCAATTCACATTTTGGAAAAACACAACCGTTATAGATCATAATCATACACATTTAGCTCAATGATTTATTTTTACGTATTTATTTCTCTAATGTTACGTGTGCACCGTGCACATCTTTACATTAGAGGTGGTTTTATATGGAGCAATATCAATTGCATTTGAACTAAAATGCTTAAACTACGGAACAACATTCCCAAGACACAAATGCATAACTTAGCATGCCAATTTACCATCCTTGGTACCAATTTAGAAGCTCGGATTTCATGGTCCCTTCAAAGACACTATGAGATGGGCAGACAAAGCCACTGCTGAAAGAGAGCTTCAGAGCACGATCGCTCATCTCTGTTAGGGCAATTCCGATTGGGAGCTGCAATATTTGGCTACCATGAAAACTCATCTGCCACTAGAGGAGGAATAAAACCGCTTCCTTTGAGTGTTTGTTCAAAGACGTGTCCCACTCTAAGAAGTTTCCCCTGCAACAGACCAATTTATAACATCATGACGAAGTGTCAAACTTATCAGTTATTAATAACATATGGTAAAAAAATTGATCTGGGGGGTGAGTAAAGATCCTTGGTAATATACTCCTTCACATTTATATTATTGCATTAGATAGCAGATGTGGGATACTCGGACACTAACCATACCCTCGGCCCAACCCTAGTTAGACAACCGACTGAGTGAACAAACTGCCCCAAGACAGACTTCCTAAACCATCAAGTAGGCGGATGCCACACAATCCACCATCGAAAAGGACTTTGACACCACGTCAGATCCAGCCTAACTCGACCTCTTCGATAGGTGGGGTTTTATGACTTTATCCAAACCATTGAGTGCGCAGACGACCCACAAACTACCATTGGACTGGACTTTAAAACTGTTAAATTGGACCTAGCTCAACCCAAAGGGATGTTCAAGAGATGAGGATTGAGGTTTATGTCGTAATTGTGTAAATAAATGACTATTGTGGGTCGCTCGACAACAAATAGGATGTGTGAGAGCTTGCCTCATCAAATGCAGCACCAATCATCTGAATGCCAACAGGAAGCCCCACAGACCCACCGTTGACAAATCCACAGGGCAGAACTAATGCAGGAAGACCTGCCAGGTTAACATTAACCTGTCACAAAGAAGGAAAAGAAATTATGTTGAAGCCAAATAAACATCGGGTCGCTTAACAAGTCGGCAATAAAATTTAAGAGAAGAATACAGAAAGCGTAATTTCAAAAGCAGAACTTGGGAATTCATATCTAAATGACATACAGTCATGATATCACCAGCATACATTGCCAAGGGATCATCCTTCTTTTCACCTGAAAATTTGAAACTTATTCAGCCAATGTCCAACCTCAAACTTTCACAAATAGGCATGAAGAGTAAAGTGGCATACCAATTTTATAAGCTGCAGATGGCGCTGCTGGTGAAATTAGGATATCATTATTGTCCAATGCTTCCCTAAGATTGTCCCTTAACAATGTCCTCACCTAAAACACTATCACCATTTTAGTTCGAAAGTTCCACATCCTAAATTATCCCTCACCAATATCCTCACCTAAAACACTATCACCATTTTACTTTGAAAGTATTTCACTTTAGGGCCCCACGACAAAAGGTCATTTTCACTTTTGGTCCCAACTTTCATTTTTCATTTTTACTTTTCATTTTTAGTACACAGCTATGGATTTGTTTCCACCTTTGGTCCTCCCAATCATTTATCCGTCCAATCACGCGGAATTCTCAGATGATTTTTAACTAAATTCATTTTCATTTTCATTTACCCCAGTGCCGCAAAGGCTCCCACCTATGGTGGGGTAAGGGGGGTCGGATGTACGCAATCTTACCCCTGTACTAAAGCACAGAGAGACTGTTTCCGGATGACCCATAGTGAAAATCGCGTCCAAAATTGCATGGGCTGACTACTGCTTCATAACAAAGAAGAGCAGACAGTTTAGTGAGCCATTTTGCTTTATTCCATCATATTATCAAGCCAAAAAATAATGAATCTTTGGCTCCATTGCAAATGATGGAAAATGATTTTTTTTTTATTTTTAACTAAATAAGTGATCAAAATGACCAAATGTGGGGGGGGTATATTCATGCACCAAAAGTGAAAAAAAAAGTGAAAACCGAGGACCAAAAAAGAAAATGGCCAAACTGAAATGGGACTAAAAGTGGGATTATTTCCTCCTTTTTTCATGAAAAAAAATAAAATAAGATCAAACGCTCAAAGGTTTGGTAGTGATTTTAGTGTCCATTTGAGCTTATGCTTGCAAATGCAGTTTTGGTACCTGCTGAGCTCGCTTGTAGTATGCATCATAATAACCAGCTGATAGCGCATATGTTCCCATTAGAACTCTCATTTTGACCTATACATGTTGAACAATGTCACTCCGAAACTCAACTGTTATGACAAACCTTTTGATGAATCATTTCCTGTGAAGTGAAAAATCCTTTCCTCAGTGCTGTTGAAAATTGATAATGGTTAATAATACCTCAGAACCAAAGCCTTTAGCACGGGATTCCCCATACAAGGAATTAAGCTCATCTGCAACAGCTCGTTTCCCATACCTAGATTTCAATATCCAATGTCATTAAACAAGCAATAGGCCTATAGTCTAGATAAATATTTCTATTTGTAAACTTTGAGGGTCTAATGTTGAACCCGAAACATAACGTGGGGAGAAAATCAGGAGTAAAGTTTGAACTTTGAAGGTAAGAAAACTTGGGGGAAAGTAAAGGATATATTTAACTTAATATAATAAATTTATTTCAGATAATTTTTTTAACACATTTTTATGTAACTACTAATATTATACTGTAATATATACACTTCAAGAAATCTAAATACAAGTAATAAAACTTAAAGCCTGAGATAAGAAAATAAATTTCCCTAGCATTCATTTCCATTCCCTAGCATTTCCCGGGATCTAAACTAGTATAATGTTTGTATCATTTCAGAATCCCCTCATTTGGCGTTGGTTTCTTCACATTGCTATTTCACTTTCCAAAAACATTGTCTTGTCCATCGAAGTAACTAATTTTAATATTTAATTCTATTTTCTTAGGATAAATTCAGGTTAATTTGCTATAATATCTGAAACTAATAACATTTCATAAATTACCTAATAGAATCATAACGAGATAAGTTTGAAGAAGATTCAGATGACGCAAGTATGTAGTAAGCTGGTAACCCAAGATGAAAGGATGGCAAGGAGACCTAAAATATATAAAAAAGAAAATGGAAAAGGGAAGAGCATAAACCTGAATAATAATAAATGAATATGGGAACCTAAGAGTAAATGATACCTCTGTCACAGTGCACCCTAGTTCCTCCAAATGACTCGCAGCGCCACGAATTGAAGAAATCACTTCATGGTCAACACCACCCTCCATTGTTTCCCGGATAATACCAACTCTCAATCCTTTTAGGGGTTTTGATTCCATAATATCTTCAGAAAGAAATTGGGAAATATAGACAGGAACTTCCTGAAAGAATATTCACAAAATTAAAGTAAAAACTAACAAACAGAAGTGTTTTGAAAATGCAGACTTAGTTCTTGACATTTGAATATTTGCACAACAGCTACAACAACATCAAAGCCTTATTCTCAAAAGAGTTTGGGTTGGCTAACATGAACCCACATTAATTCAGAATTAAAATGAGCATGATTCCCTCCCATTATCAGATTCCTGCAAGGAACCGACTATCTTGTGATTCTTGTCCTACAAGATACACTGTAGTTCCTTGTTACTTAAAGTTATCCTAAGCAAAAATACTGAATGTGTTATGCTAACACATTATAGGCGTAAAATGGATATGCTTTGATTTACTCCCCCTCTCCCATTAAAAAATTCTTTTTGGTCAGAAATAACTTTTTAATATTGCCAAGAAACTGTAAGAAGTCATGTAATAAACTGTAAAACTAGTTCTGTACGACGAAATGGCTCTTTTTATGGGACATAGAGTGTCATGCCAATAGTAGACAATTGGGTATCATAGCAAACATAAAGAGTAATATTCACAAGATGAAATAGAAAAAAACATGAGACTTACTCGTTTGCTACTCGTTGCATCAAACTTATCATGACCAGAAATTAAGTGGAGGAGAATCCCTGCATCAGCTACTGACGAGCCAAAGCATCCAATGACATCAAGAGAAGATGCATATGCAACAAGCCCATATCTTGAGACACGGCCATATGTTGGTTTTAGGCCAACGACACCACAGAAAGATGCAGGCTGTCTAACACTCCCACCCGTATCACTTCCTAGGGATACCACACACTGCCTAGCCGACACAGCAGCTGCTGATCCCCCTGATGAACCACCCGGCACTCTTGTCATATCCCAAGGGTTTGATGTCACCTATTATTAATTTGAACATGCATCACCTGAGTAAGTAAACGGTGTTCTGTTACATCTTTGAAATTTCAAACCATATATATTTCTACAATTTCATCCTTCCATTTGAGGATTCACTGATAAATACATCGAGAGCACATACTTTGATAGTTTTACTCGTTTGATTACAATAGAATGATCAGTGGAGCGACTTAATATGGAGCAAGAGACACAAAGTATTATACTTTTACCCCTTGTTTGGTTGGAGTTCTTTAGAGGGGGTGATGTTTATTTTAGTAATCTATTTTTACAAAATATGGTTGTAAAGAAAGTAAAGATTGAAAATTTGTACAGACATTCAGAGTACATGATTTTACCAAATATAGCTTCTTTCTAATATAAGATTAACAAATAGAAATTAGAAATAGATTAGTGAAATAAAAATCAGTCCTTTGCTCCAAAAACACCAACCAAACAGGCAAACACTAGCTAGGAGTTTTTTAAAATCGAAAAGAGTACCAGATGAAAAAATTATTCACTAGTTAATGACAAAACCCAGTTTTTTGTATGAAAGGTGAAATTACATTGAGGCTCTGGACTCAATATTCAACAATTAAAATTTTCAGAAAATTTGTGTGGTTAAAATGTTCAGTTGATTCAGACTAAATCTGGAAACTGAAATAAAGAACTGCTTAGTGAGCAAAACTAAGAATTGACTAAAAAAACAGACCTGATAAGCAGAGCCTTCAGTAGTACTCCCCATGCCAAACTCATCCATATTAGTCTTACCCACCACAATGCCGCCGCATTCCCTCACCTTTCTCACGGCAGTAGCATCGAAAGGTGGCCGATAATTCTCCAATATCTTCGACCCTGCAGTCGAGGGCATATCCGAGGTACAAATATTATCCTTTACGGCAACCAAAACCCCAGCAAGCGGGCCCACCTCCTCCTTGTTCGAAATCTTCCTGTCGATCTCCTCGGCCTCCCTCAGCACCGTATCCGAGACGTGGAGGAAGCTCTTGAGGTGGGGTTCTGTGCGTCGAAGCCGGGAGAGGAAGGTCTGAGCTATCTCCACTGCTGAGGTCTCGCCTGCTAAGATGGCCTTGCGGATGTTGAGGATTTGGGAGGTTGGTGGGGCGGCGGTTTTAGAGACGGAGGGAAGGGGTATGGATTGGGAGGTGTGGAAGCATTTGACCTTGAGACGGAGGCGGAGGAGCCGCGGCGTATGATGAACTGAAGATTGCATGATTTGAAGTGAGAGAGTGAAAGTTTTACTGCTTGGTTTCAATTCTTGAAGGCCAAACACTGCTTTTGTAGGATTTTTGCTCCTTGGTTTGATACTTTCATAGTTTCATATACGGAGTACAACGATTGTACTCAAGAAATTATTAACAGCAATAACTATTAACTTCATACTGCTAGCATGTTAAGGGAGTTAGGATCTGATTCTTATTTTAAAATTATTTCTGCCCCTTCAGGCAGTAGAAGTTGAAGTGTTTGGATGCTCCAGTAGAAGTTGAAGTGTTTGGATGAAAGCACAGAAGACTTAGTCTTAGAAGCAGCATTTTTTAGAAGTCAGGGGAAACCAGCTTCTGATTCTGCTTAAAAAAAGAAACAGAATCAGAATCAGTTCCAAACACCTCTATATGATTCAATTAATCATACGGGCATTTTAGCCTTAGCCTACCTCAGAGTTATTTTAAGAAACATACACAAGACTACAAGAGAGGCTCATTTTGAGAAACATCTCAAATCTGAAGGTTTCCCCAATAAATTTGACATAGTTGTTATTTTTCTTTCTTGAAATGTTTATACATTGCATACTGAGAAAAAATGATACAACACAACTTTAATAGAATAAAGCACCTAAAAAATGATACAACACAACTTTAATAGAATAAAGCAGCTAAGAAATTATCATTAATGACATAATAAATATTTGTTTTCTTTTAATGATAGAGAAAAGCTGCATTGTTGATTCACAGCTGCGAGCACTCGAGAGGCTCTAGAATCTCTTCTCTGCTGGTTTCTTCATTAGTTTTGGTGCTTCTCTCTCTGCTGGTTTCATCATCGGTCTCCATGCTTCTCTGTCAGCTGGTCTCCTCATTGGTGTAATTGCTTCTTTCCCTGCTGGATTCTTCATTGGTTTCATCGCTACTTTCTCTGCTGGTCTCATCAGTTTGGGTGGTGAAGGAGCAGCCATCATCACAGAAGGTCCGCCCAGTTTCTTTGGCGAGAAAACACTGCTAGATTAACAACACAAGAGACTTAAGATGAATGCTAACCGCAAGTATTGATGAATACATTGATGAAATACACAGGGTCGCTCAAAGAATACCTATTAGTTCTTTGCACAGCCTTACTCTTTATAGCTGCTAAGTTCTTATACTCCGGACTGTAAACAAATAATATAAAATCACATAACCAGAATTCAAGGTGTATAAAGCTAGTGGAAAACACCATCAGACATCAGCACTGTTATGATATAGCTGCCGATGGAATTTCATAATCACCTCCTCATGTAATCCATCTTTGCCTTCTTCATTACTGTACTCTTTGTGTTGTAAACCCCACTCCCGCCTACAAAAGAATATCTATATACTAAGGTAGGAGAAGAACCCAAACTTGTAACAAAAACCACTCCAAATCAGAATGCCATTATGAGGTTCAACCTCATGCATACAAAAAAATACAGTGATGTATAGCAAGCCCACATAGGGAGGCTGGAAGGAATTTTGTAAAATGTGCTTAACTCGTAAGGATGGCAACTTGTTATTGTGTATAACTACAATCATAGTTGTTACGGCGGGGTTTTGCGGCGCGGCGCCTTTGGACTGCCATACCGCCATGGCGATATGGCGCCTGTCGTGGCGGAGTCGCGGCGATAAGTCGACATATAGACTAAGAAATTCATAATAAGTTTTACATACTAAAAAGCCATGTAAAACTTATAGCCAACACTACTAATGAACTAAATCAAGTAATAAAACATGTAACCATAGAAATAAAATAAATAAAAACAACTTAACTGAAATGTCACTAACTATTAAAAAAATATTAAATGTAAGACAACACAATCACACACTATGAATTTCAGCATAAATTCGAGACACCAAAAACATCATGAAATATAAAATAAAAAGAGAACTGATTTTTTTTAAATTTTTTTGAATCAAACTGTACAATGTAAATACAACAAAAAAGCTAAACACTACACGGAGTTCAACACAACAACTGTACACAACTAAACAATTAATATTGGAGTACAGGGGTGGAAATTATAAAAAACAAAACTAAACACTAAACAGTAACCGACTCAAAAAAATACAACAAATGCATGAACAAAACAACATAAAAAAGGGGCTAAACCGCTAAACTAGTGGAACGTGAAGACGACTGCAGACATGAGTGAGCGACGACAGATTAGAACTATAGAGCGACGGAAATTCCCGATTAGAACTAGTGGAGCGTGCAGATGACTGCATACGACGGACTGAAGAATGAAGCGTGCGTATGTCGTCGAAGCAGATAGGTTTGTTTGTTAATTTTATTTTGGGCCTCTTCGAAATTCAGTTGAGTTTGGATTTGGGCCTGTTCCAAATTAAATAATTTTACGCCTTGGGTCGTCGATTAGGCGATTTTGGCGTCTTCCGACGACACAACGACGATTTTTCGACGCCAAAGGTTTTATGGCGAGTCGAGCTCCCATGGCGATCTTCACTTCGCGCCACGACGATATGTCGACGATGTGGCGACGATATATCGACGCCATAACAACTATGACTACAATGGTAGTCTTATGACTTGATCACTTGAGACAAGAAATGGGGTAATATTACAAAGTATACCAAAATAGTTTGTCGAATTTGAAATATGAGACTTAGCCACATTAAAGGAACAAGTTCCAAAAGCACATAACTATGCAGTTGCTGTAAGGTGAAGAATGTTTTGTGTTACGCAGCATATTACCCTCCTGTTTGTGAAGCTCATGGACCTACATCAATGACTTCCTAGCTAGTCTCCCCATGCACTTCGCATTTTTTAATGATTTAGTGTCACGCATTTTTAAGGGTTGCGATTCACTCCATGTCTAATAATTTTAATAATAGCAAAAGGTTGCAGTGATATCTTTATAACAAGCATTGTTACTTATGACCTTCACAGGAAATATACAATTTTTGCATTGCAAATTGCAATTCTAGGGATATTAGACTACTCCATTAGTTGAGAAACATAGAATGAAATTCAATACATACCTTTTTCATTTTAATGTTGAAACTAAAAAGCTTAATTCTAACTAAAGTCCCAATGTGAAATTAACTGCTTCAGCCACCATTGCTTGGGATGGAGATCATATTGTTTCCCAATTCCCACATCACGTGTTTCAGGAAGTGATGCTCCTGCTTCAGTTACCAATGCTTGGGAGATCATAATGTTTTCCACATCGCGTGTTTCAGGAAGTGATGCCTTATGCCTCAATTTATGGTCAGTAACTCAGTATTCCAACCATATAACCCATTTCCTTCTCAATCAATGACATTATAAATCCTTTTCATGTTTGGGATAGCATATTTTGGTAATGTGTTTAAATTTGGCCCCTTATAGCATTCTTCATGAGGGTGTTGATATATCCATTACCCATGGTGTAGAAGTTTCAGAAAAGTAACCCTAACCTTGTTAAATAAACAGGAACTAAATTGTTCGCAAGAGAAGGAATCCAGCAGAAACGCAAACCATACCTCCATAAAAGTTTCTTTTACAGCTAGAAGGTGGAATCTTTGTACAGATCTTAATTTGCCGGTTTTGTTTTTCTGCAAAAGTATTAATTGGATTCATGTTTAATTGGTTATAAGTCACTTGGAAAGACTTGGGTAGTACCAATCATACTATGCATAAGTTACAAATAGCACTTACCAGTTTCTTGTTTTTTGTAAAGATCCTTGATTCTTTCAAAGGATTGCTGTGTAACTTCCTCCTCGACCTTCAACTTTGCCTGTGAACAACTTGAGCTACTCAAAATGATGCAATGACTTAAGAACCATATGTGAGAATTTAGAAACCATGTGACTATTTATGTTTAACACTTGTGAAGTCAAGTACCTCATACAACTGTCTCCACTTAAAAGTGCATCTTTTCTGCTTCATTTTCTCCACAACCTGGTTGGTGCTCTTTTCACCAAATTCTCGCTCATAAAACTTCTTCCAAAGTTTATTTGTCACAGGACTAAGATCTCTCCCCTTCAAAAATTAAAAGTAGATTTCAAAGTCAGACCTAGTTTGAGACTTCCCAAAAGGAGTGTGGTAGATGAACAATTCCTTACTTCTGTTGACCTCTCAATGCATGCCAACTCATCAATAGTACAGTGAGGTAAAATGCGATCGAGTAGATGATAGTCTGTTTCACCAACATCATGAAGGTGCCTAACATGACATATAGCAAACTGAACGCACAAATCCACAAGTGAAGGAACGTTACGGTTCACTCTCATGCTTCCCATTATGCGCTCCGGTCTGTTTTATCAGCTAATACTTGCAATCACCAGCTATTAAATAAGCAGAATAAGGAAGAGCTTAAATTGCTACCAGCTAAAACACACTTTAATTGTCGTAACATAACAATCCTTTTAGATTGGAATTTTCAGAAGTCCTATGCACTCACATAAATCTCAGTGTTCATTTAAAATAGTATCAGGAATTGTAGCTGCGGTTCATCTTAATTTGTACACAACAAAGATCAATGAATGCTATCAAGTTTCAACATCACAATGAACCACCGAACTTTCTGAACAGGAAAAAGGAGAAATTTATGGAAATAATCAACATTGAATGTACAGATCGTAGATTTGACCAATTGACTAAAGAAATCCAATCGGAAAAAAACAAGGATTTAGGATGCTCACACGTATGCGTGACCGGAGCGGGAAACCGGCGGGCTGATGAGTCAGAACTCAAAAGAGAAGCGGATACGTAACATGATATCGACGAATCTAGCTTGAAGATAGAGGGATGATTGCAGAGGACAAAATCAAGTTATCGAGGGATGATTGCAGAGGACAGAATCTAGGTGAAGGGCGATAGACTCCAATTCCAGCTCAAAACTGGGGCATATCTATTTTATCCGTTTCCTTTCGGTTCGGTGAAACGAGTTAGAAAATTATTACTGAACAAATATCATACGTAGTGCTCCGTATTATTTTTTGGTTTGGTTTGGTTCGATTTAGTTTGATTTGATTCCGTTTGGATTTGTGATTTTCTAAAAATATATGAAGGTTTTATTCAATTCCTTTAGTTCGGTTAGGTTTTGTTCAACTTTTAGCGTTTTTAGTTCGATTCGATTTAATAAGGTTCGGAAGAAATACTATCAAATTCAAACCAAATTGTATATGGTTCAGTCGGTTCGGTTTCATATGGTTTGATTTGGTTAAACTAAACTGATATGTTCACCCCTACTGAGAACAATAACATCTATTATTATTATTATCTAAAAGCAAAATGTTTTTGGGGTTACATTTCCCTCTCAAAAATGTCGATGTCAAGGATTAGTGTTTAATTGTTCAATAAACCAGTTTTTAGTTAATAAAAAAGAATTCGTTTAAGTCATTCTTTTCAAAGATTTGTTGAGGGTTGCCTGTGAGAGTAATACGTGAAATTTAATGCGTGGAAAAAGTTGATAAAGCGAAATGGTGTTGAGGTGCTGTTTGGATTTGATCTGGATTTCCCACCCACCTTGAGGCCTTTTCATTTATCAGTTTTTGGGTGTGAATTGGCGGTGAGCTACTATTGGGATTTGATCTAGATTTCCCACACACCTTTAGGCTTTTTCATTGGTCAGTTTTGGGTGTGAATTGGTGATCTACTGTTTGAATTTGATATGGATTTCCCTCCCACTTTGAGGCTTTTTCATTGGTCAGTTTTTGGGTGTAAAATTGGGTTGAGCTACTGTTGCGCTTTGATTTGAATTCCCCACTCACCTTGAGGCTTTTTCATTGGTCAATTTTTTGGTGTGAATTGGTGAGCTACTGTTTGGATATTATGTGGAATTCCAACCCACCTTGAGGCTTTTTCATGGTCATTTTTTAGGTGAAATAGTATGTTTAATATGACGCTGATTTAAACAGAGTTGTGCTCGAGTGGAGTTTATATGTATGATTGGATGGCATTGTTGTAATTTCAAATATTACTAAACAGTGTTCCCTCCACGCCCATAGCCATTTCCTATCGGTTGAATTAGAGGTGCACACTGTTTGGTTTCATGACCTAGGTTAAGCTCAGTAGCTATAAATGAAGTAACAAAGATGTTCCAATCCCCACAGCTCGGCACTACTGAAAGCAAACAAAAACAGAAGCAAAACTTTTCAAAAATGGTTAGGATGTGGTCCTTAGTCCGTGAGATAGACCGGACCAAAACCACGTGGGCAATCAAGGCAAGAGTGATATCAGTGTATCGAAAGCCGATTCACGACTGTTATCCGGAGTCACTGAAGTACTTTTATCCATTAAAGTTTCGATTCCACCTGGAAGTCTGGAACCAGCTGGCACAGAGCCGGCTTGGGACTGTCCCTAATTAAAGCAAAAAATGTCACTAGACAAGCACTTAGAGAGTTATTGGCTGCGATGAACATTCCAAAGATATTTTGATAGCTGCAACATATAATATTTTGCAAAAATGAACTTGTATTTCTCAATTGCTCTGCCCTATATAATACTTACTTTGTTTCCCTATGATTGACCCATTTTTTCATTTTTAGATGTCCCATATTATTGTCACATATCATATTCGGTAACATTTGTGTGATTCTAATTCATTCTTACTTTACTCTCACTTTATCAACTCATTATCAACCGCATAATTCTATTTTTCTTAGAAATCAACCCCTCTTCTGTCCTAATATTAGGGGGACAGAGGTAGTACACCGTAGTATATTGTTATCAATCGTTTTGATTTAATTATGGACCACAATACCGAACAAATTAAGAACCAAAAAGGTTTCCCTGTAGAATTACAAGCAAAGAAAGAGCGCCATTGAGTTTTGTATTTCTACAAATTAGATAACCATTAAATAGAAATTTTGTATTCTTCATATCACCAACTTCTCTGAGAATTCAATTTCTCATATTGTGACAGATTCCATTAGGGTTCATCATCTTCATTCTCAAAAAACGACTGCTTTTGAAGCTTCTCATGGAACTTCCATTTCCTAAATGTAAATCCATATACAACCATTCAGGACATTATATGGGATCACAATAAGAAGATGCATAAATGAGATACACAAAAGGACTGATAGAGTATGACAGTTTTAGTATAGCCAGTAGCCATACATCAATAGCTTCGTGCATCAAAGACTCAAAGTTCATGAGCATTCAATTGTTCGTGTTTGATGTATGCAGAAATACTAGCCAATCCACTACATTATGTACCCAGGTCAAATAAATACCCATCTTTTCTAGTCATATCACAATGAACTGTGATTAAAATGGTCACCCAGTAAAACAATGTGTAGAGAGATGTTTAAATAGCCCGTGCATATTAATTCGGATTATAATGGATTAATAAAACCCTGTCTTTTTATGATCCATAAAAAAGCATCCATGATACATTTTGCAAAACACATGTGATGCATAAAAAAGGGGCAGCGCAGTGCACATTGACATCCCCACAAGAGTCCAGGGAAGGATCCCATCAGAAGGGTGTATAAGATTCTGAATTTTTTATGGAAGGTATCCAATCCATCCATTTTTTCAATCAAAATCCATTTATAGAGATGACTGAGCAATGCATATAGTGATACTTTAGCAGATTTTTATATAACAACCAACAAGGAGAGAAAACTATTGTATAAATCAAGGCAATTTAATGGGTGAGACACTGGGAAGTATTTAGAAGATATTCTTAATATGATCCAATGGATTATTCTATATGATTCCACTATGGAATCATATACGCTTAGGTGACTTCATGATAGCTGTTGGGATAATAGACCAGGCCCAGTGCCATCGGCCCGTTATCCCCGAGCTTTGGCCCAACTAGGCCCAAGACATCGGGCCGGTTCGCCCATTAGCTTGGACATGTATTATGTAATCGGGCCAAGCCCACGTAGGTTAGACTTTGGACTTGTAATGGATGCCTATAAATAGGCCATCACCTCCCATGTACTATACTGAAATGCTGCTAGTTTCTCTACCCGGGATATTTTCTACCAACAATAGCCACACATTTAATTAATGATTTAATAATTTGTCACCCATTATAAAAATACGTGGCTATGATGAAGCCACTTAAGCCATATGACTCCATATTGGAGTCATATATGGCTCCATGTAATATGAATGGAAGGATTACATCAGTCTATGTTACGGACCTAGCCCATACTAGGCCCATAACGATGTCATAAGCCCAGGTGTAGAACTCACTCCCAAAAGACCAGCCGATTAGGAGGGAGCACCTTGCTTATAAGCCACCGATCAAGCCCATACATGACCGGTGTGGGATCGTAACAATACCCCACGCTTTGAAGAGCCCACGTCCTCGTTGGTCACGGCTATGTTGATCACGGTTGGCACCCCCTAGGGCCCAAGCCACCAAGCCATAGGCCACCACTCCGAGTATCGGGACTAGGAAGATGGGGATGACTCCGAGACCAATTGTTACGGACCTAGCCCATACCAGGCCCATACTGATGCCATAAGTCCTGGTGTAGACTTCACTCCTAAAAGACCAGCCGATTAGGAGGAGGGAACACCTTGCTTATAAGCCACCGGTCAAGCCCATACTTGACTGGTGTGGGATCATAACAGTCTATAATTATTATTTTTTGAAGATTGAACGATTAACAACATTATCCCAGTGCACAAAGGTTGTACTAGCACAGAGAGGCTGTTTTCGAAAGACTCATGATGAAAACCGCGTCGAAAATTGCATGGGCCAATGGACTGACTACTGCTTTATATAGTAGCAAAGAAGCTCAGTCAGTTTACTAAGCCATTTTGCTTTATTCCATCATTTTCCAAAGATAAAAAAAAATATTGAGTCTTTGGCAGTTGGCTCCATTGGAAATGATGGAAATAGATTGAACGATTGAATTTGTTTTTTATGGCATCTTAATTTTTTGAAATTTAAAAAAAAAAACTCAAACTACAATAAAACTTTGTCAAATTGAGGAAGAAAGATCAAGCTTTTCATATTTCAGAGGGGAAATTCCCGAAATAGAAGTAAAAATGTTTGAAAATTTCAAAATAGGACCACCATGTTTTTTATTCCTAAAATAGGAGTAATTACTGCCAAGTATGAAAAATATTGTCATGTTTAAAGTCTGAAACTGCCAAAACATGACAGTAATTACTCCTATTGTAGGTAGGGGTGGGTTCGGTTCTTGCGGTTCGGTTTTGTCCTAAAACCAAATATAGAATCAAAGTAAAAAGTTCGGTTCGGTTTCGGTTCGGTTTTACACTCCAAAACTTGGAACCACGGTTTGATTGGTTCGGTTTGTGTCGGTTCGGTTTCGGTTTTTTCGGTTTTTTTCCAAAAAATTATCACTTGATTCAAAATTAATATAATACTTAGATGGATCAAACATATTACATAAAGAATGCAAGCACAATACAACAACAAATAAAATAAAAATGAGAAGAGATAAATATGTTTTGAATTATATGAGTATGCGAGATAGATAAAATTGTATGGAGTATATATTATAGATTTAATTTGTTTGTGAGTAGTTCGAAAAAGTTCATGAATATATACATTCTATACTTCTATGTGATATAGTTGAGATGAATATTTATTGTTTTATCAATATAAAATCTTTAAGTTATCTAAAAAAAGTTAATTACTACTAATAACTAGTAAACACATATTATCATCATTCAATATAGCTACATTATTACAGGCAATGAATGTGTAAATGAATTTATAAACTAAATTAAATTAAGCATAACACAAACATTATTTCTCTAACACAAGAAAACCAAAGACTATTGATGATATTAAGATTAATTAGAATCAATGCTTAACAATTAAATTATAAATTTCATATTTTGAATAGTTCGGTTTGTTCGGTTCGGTTCGGTTTTGAAGGGTAAAAACCAAAACCGAACCAAACAACTTCGATTCGGTTCGGTTTTTTACATTCGGTTT